TAATATGGCAAAGGAAATAGACATACAAATCCAGAAACTCAGAGAGTTCCAAAAAACTCTCTGAGAAGTACTGGGCAGAGAGAGATAAAGGGGAGAAAAATGAATGGAGTAACTGTAATAGCATAATCAATAAAATATACTTTAAAAAGAAAGTGAAAAGACAAGGCACAAAGTGGAAAAAGATATGTGCAACACATAACTGACAAAGGACCAATAACAAAATAATATTAAAAACCAAACAAAAAAAAACCTTAAAGCAATAAGAAAACCCAATAGAAAAAAACAGGCAAAAGATTTGAATACATACTTAAGAAGAAATTCAAATAGCCATAAACACATGAAAATATACCTAACCTCATCAATAATCAAGGAAATGAAAATCACAGTGAGGAAAAAAATTATACACCTATGGCAAAAATTTTAAAAGTCTGACAATATCAAATATTAATGGGAACATGAAGCAATGGAATCTTTCATACACTGTACACTGCTGGCACAACCATCTGGAAAAGTTTGGCATGATCTAGAAGATATGCATATCCTGTAACGATTCTGTTATTAGAAAAATACACTAGAGAAATTTTTGCATGTGTGTACCAGAAGACATGTACAAGATTGTTTATAGCAGCATGGATTAATAAATTGTGGTATTGCTAAAACATCAATGAAAATAAAATAAGCCATATATATATACACACACACACACACACACACACACACACACACATATAATAACAGGCATAACTCTCACAAATAATACAGAGGGAAGAAAAGCAAATCAATACAAACAAAAAATACTTACAGTATTGCTCCATTTATGTCAAGTTCAAAAACAAGAAAAACAAAATTATTTAGAGATACATATATTCCTGGTAAAACTGTACATAAAAATAAAGAAATAATTATCAAGAAATCTGGATAGGGGTTATCTCTAGAAGTAAGGGGGAGAGCTGTGATTGGAAAGGAACACAAGCAGGTATGCATAGGGGTAGAGACAATTTCTACTTCTTGTCCCTAGTATTTGTTTATAATTGTTTTTTAAACAGTACATACATGTTCTATGCACTCTAATCCATGTCCAATATATCTAACAAGAAAAAGTAAATTGAAGATTTTTTAAGTTATCATCAGATGCTACCCAATATAGAAACTAATCTCCTGACCTGTACAAAAGAAAATTTTTCTCATACCTTTCTTCCAAATGAGAGGAAAGTTAAGGTGCAAATAAATACCCTGCAAATAGTGGTAAATGATCAAGTTATCTTGACCCAGAAACAAAAAGAGTATAATATTTTAAATTGTTATTTAATAAACATCAAATGGTATTTTTTCAGCACATATAGCCTCTGCTCTGCCTAAGCCTATTAAAATTACAGCCAGGTGGCATGTTCATAGATTAAACTGGCCTGTGACTTACCACAAGTTTACAACTGTTAATGGGTAAAAAATTAAAACAATACAAAATAGCCCTGGCTGGTGTGGCTCAGTGGATTGAGCACAAGCCTGCAAACCGAAAGGTCACTGGTTCCCTTCCTGGTGAGGGCAAATACCTGAGTTACGGGCCAGGTCCCCAGTTCGGGGCATGTGAGAAGCAACTGATTGATGTTTCTCTCACACATGATGTTTCTCTCCTGTTTCCCCCTCCCTTCTCCTCTCTCTAAAAGTAAATAAATAAAATCTAAAAAAGAATTAAAACAATACAAAACAAACTCTGGAATAGAAAGACAGCCAAGTGGCTTTTGTAAGCACGAACATAATTCTGGCCAAGAAACAGCTTTATATAGGTAGCTGTTGGCTACTGAAGTATACCTAAAGTCTTTGTCAGGGTAAAGGAAGATGAAGAGTGGTTTATATATTTTCACTCATGGTTGGAAAACCATATCTAGTAACAAGAGATAAAAATCAATCAATTAAACAACTAAAATTAACTAAGTACCTATTACTGAAATCAAGAAATATTTCACCCTCCTATCTGTGTTTAATAAAATATTATGTTGAAGGTAATAAAAAGAAATGTATGATACAGCCCATGCTTCAAGGAAAATACAATCAACACAATGCTTGATAATAATGAAGACAAGAAAAAGCATAAGACATGGTCCTACACATGAAAGCAAAAACTCTTTTTAAATACACACACAAACCCACACACATTTGCATTTGTCTAACTTAAAGCAAAAGCAGAATGAGGGTAGGGTAGGGGGTGATGCACTGTGTGAAACACTTTCCCTAGGGAGATTCCGAGTCCAGATCTACCCTGGTGAGGTGGAAGACCTAAAACAGCTCATATTAATACTCTTCTAAAAATCTGCTTTCCCATATTTCTATTTAAGTGAAATAAAGAATATCAAAAGTGACCTTTATGAAGAAATGAAGTCACACAATGCAGTGAAGTATATCTGCCCTGAGCTTGTTTTTTGGTTTTGTTTTGTTTTTTTTAAACATAGGCTGGCCTGGGTCACTTCCTTCTCTCTTCAGTTTGTCTCTGAGTCACTGTCTACTCAGCTAAATCCCCTCAAAGATTTCCCATGGATTTTACAATTTAATAATTATTTTTTCATTTAATAGACTATTTTTGTCTTTTTCAGATTATGTGTTTCATGTATTTTTGCTGTTAAAATGTTCTTTTGATAAAGAAATAAAGGAAAACAACAAAGTATGGCTGACATTTTTAACCTGGAGAAACTGGAATTTTTCCTAGGCCAACAAACAGAATGTGTGGGAACCAGTGAACTAGTGACTGCTAAGGTCCTTTATGCTCTGGGCATGTGAAAGGTATGAGAACTGAAGCCAGAGAAATTAAAGATCACATCCTAAATTGAACTAGACCCCACACTTTTATAAAGCTCTAACTCACTGTCATGCCAGAGGTTACCTTAGACTGGTGGTTTGCAACCAGGAGCAATTATGCCTCTCCCAGAAGACACCTGGTGGTATTTGAAGATATTTTTGGTTGTCACAACTGGGCCAGGGCCAGGGGCAGCAGGTGGGGGGTGGGGTGTTGCTACTAGCATCCATCTAGTGGATAAAGCCTGCTAAACATCCTAATGCATGGGGCAGCCTCCCACAGCAAATTGCCATCTAGCCCAAAAGGTCAACAGCCTGAGAATGAGAATCTCTCCTTAGCTCTCTCCACTATGTAACTCATACTTTACTAATTTAATCACATCTGAACTCAAAATTCAGCAAAGGAAACAAACATTAGGGAAATCTACACTAAAAGAAGATATGAGGCCTAAGATTACTTTGGCAAGCAATAACAACACAGTATGAAGATTTCTACTTTCTAGTTTTAATTATATAGTTGCATTCTATGTCTAAAATTCAAAATTCTTTTTTCATTGGGCAACATATTTCCCTGGTTTAGAAAGTGTATGGATGGAGAGGCTTGGAACAGGACAAGTCTGAATAGAATCCTAGCTCTAACACTGACTAGCTATAAGACAAGGAAAGTCCCTCAACCTCGCTAGGATTCCATTTCTTCATCTATAATATCACATTCAAAATATCTAACTCACAAAGTTGTTTTAAGGATTATATGAAAAATGTATTTAAAACACTGAGCATGTATATCTAGAATAAATATTTAAAATTGTGCTTAATTTGAAAGGGGATTGTAATTAAGAGTTGGACTTTTGAAAATCCCTGCTCTGCTACTTACTATATAACTTGAACAAGTTAATCCTATGACTTTGAGCCTCAATTTCCTCATTGTGAAAGATGGGCTACTACCATATTTCTCATAGGAGAGTGATGAGGACCAAAAAGATAAAGTATACAGCCATGGCTAGTGTAGCTCAGTGGATTGAGCGTCAGCCTGTAGACCGAAGGTTACCAGTTTGCTTCCAGGTTCAGGACACGTGCCTGCATTGTGGGCCAGGTCCCCAGCTGGGGGCATGTGAAAGGCAACTGATGTATCTCTCACACATTGATGTTTCTCTCTTCTCTTCCTCCCCCTCTTCCTGTCTCTTTAAAATAAATAAAATCTTAAATAAAAAGATAAAGTATGTAAAACACTAAGCACAGTTAGAACACAGTAAGTGTTCCACATACAGAACTATTTTTATTATTAAAATGAGCCCAATAAAATCCAATGACACATTCCACATGGAAAAGCTCTCCCATATATGTTCTAAACTACATTTTGCCTAATTTGGTGCCATCTGACCTCATTAGAGAAACAGTTGTTACATTTATCTTAACATCTTTTCTGAGCTTCAAAGTCATATTCTCTTCCAGTCCCCTCTGAATCAGGAAGGATTTTTTGTTCGTTTTGGGTTTTTTTTTTGACAACTTAAATATATACAGTTTTTATTTGTCAAATATACCTCAATAAAAGGAAGGTTTCCGGCTTGATCTTTTTGGTATGAATAGTTTCACATAGGATGTAGTTTTGCTCTGTTTTCATCATTAAATTGTAATTGCCTAGAAGGCCAGAACAGCAGAACAAATACCTTTTGCATAATTTCCTAGCAATTCAACCAACAAATCAACATCAGAAAACTCACCTCTAAGCAGGACCCTACCATGCTTAGAGTGAATAGAGGCTCCACAAAACGCGGTTTCCTTAACCTTAATAATTAATACATACCCCTAAAATCCACATTTAGTAGTCAATATCTCAGTATAAAAAGTTACAGTTAAAATAATTACCTAGAAGGTAAAGGAAGCTTACCACCACTGTCTAGAATATCTCAGTGTGTCATGACAAATTTACAAGTAATGTACAGGATCATTCCACCTTTACAGGTGACGCCTCTCCTAATTACATCAAAGGCTAAGTCACTACAAATTCAAATCCAACACAAAAAGAGATTACTCACCTCTGGAGATTGCTGTATATTCTGGAATACAGCATAGGCAATAAGTGAACTTGAACCTATAACACTGACAGAGATAAAAGAAGAGGATTAAAACAGGACAATTGGGGTTCCTTCATTTTTGCTATTGATTTTTTGCAGCTTTACAGACATATAATTGATATAAAATCATTGAACTTTAAAAAAATAGACTGCTTCATGAGTTTGTGTGTCATTCTTGCACAAGGCCAATGCTAATCTTCTCTGCATCATTCCAGTTTTTAGTGTATGTGCTACCAAAATGATTGATTTTAAAAATCAATCCTATTGATCACATTGTTCTTTGATTTTCATGTTAGCTCTCCATCTGTATTTGTTGTTGTTGTTGTTATTGTTGTAATTATCAGAAAATATCAATATGATAAAGAATAACATTTCTCTCTAAGAATAAAATCAAATCCACAAGGAAAAAATGTAGAAACCTTCAGGATTCTCCAGTTTCACCCATACTAGTTTAAACAGTCATATTACATGAGATTGATTAAACTTACCTCAGAGTAGCCATAACAAACTGTATCCACTGTATTGCAGAATAAACCTAAACAAAACGGGGACAAAAGAATAAAATGAAGCCTTTTACACTTATTTATTTAATCTTTTTTAATTACATTTAACATATTATATTAGTTTCAGGCGTATACCCAGTGATTAGACATTATATAACTTATCATCCTGATAAATCTGATATCCATCAAGCCTTTTACTATAATATTCAACCCTACTCCAGTTTCACTGTTTATCAACAATTTGTGCAGAGCACAAACTGTTCTTCAGTGCCTAATCAAAACACACTATAAATCTGAGACTGAATAGAAAGGCTGAAGAGACCCCTGGAAAAGCAGGGTGCCTTCTTGTTCCCTCCTTTATTGCTTCATCTCTGTGAAACAGTAAAGTAAAAAAGAACAGAGAGGTGGACGGAAGGTGACCTTGAAAAAAAAAAACAGAGTTGGATGAGAAAATTAATAAAGAAAAGAATAAATAGGGAAGAGGCAGGAAAAGTTAAATCTTGAGACAGAACAGACAGATGAATGGAAAGAATGGTAACAAGAGAAGCAAGCAAATACTACATAAAGCTGAGTGACAGAGCTAGACAGGCAGAGGGAAAAAATACTGAGCAACAGAGACATAGGAAGAAGAAAACAGTATAGAGAGAGATACTGTGAGTGAAAAATACAGGACAGGGAGGAAGAAAAGGGGAGCAGAAAAGAGAGGGACAGCTTCTAATCTCACCAAGTCCAAATTGTCCATCGGAATTCTAGCCTCCAGGAGGAAGGCCATAGGGACTTCGGCCCCAGTTATGCTTAAGCAGCCGGATCCTTCAGGGTCAGGTTCTGGAGCCCGAGTGGTGAACAGGTGGCTCCACCCCTTCCCCAGCTGTGCTCCTCCCTACCCATTCCTGCCTTGTATCTTGAGGGCAAGGAGAGAAGGCAGCAATAAGTGGAGGAGAAAGCCAACCAGAAAGAACAAAACTAGAAAGAGCAGCAGGTGACAAGGAAACAAAGTTCTAAAAAGTATTAGGAGTTGTAAGAAGGAGCAAGAGGCAGAAATAATAAGCAGAAAGAATGAGTCACAGCAAAAAGGTAAATAGAGCTGCAAGAGAGACATGAAACAGAAAAAAGAGAGAAAAAAGGGGGAAGGGAGGTCTAATTAAAACTTGCCCATTTTTAGAGACAGAAGCCTGTGATGGGCAAGATAGACTGCGTATTCACTCAATCATGTATTTAGTAATATCAGAAAAAAATCAAACTTTTAGTAATATCAGAAAATCAAATTTTTAGTAATACCAGAAGAAAACCTGTTACTAACAACTCATATTTATTATTTAATACTGACACCTTCAATACTCTATACCAAAAATTCCCACCAGAAATATAATTATATAAATTACATGTGTCATGTAATATACTTATGTTTTTGTATCAACTGTGTATAAAGTATTGTGTTGTGCAAGATCTAAAGACAAGTAGTATACAGACCCTATACCTCCAGGAGCTTATGATAGAGTAGGAAAAATAGCTTGAATACCAAAATCTGTTTTTAGTTTTTATTTGTTGGTTTTAGAGAGAGAGAGGAAGGGAGGGAGAGAAGGAGGAGGAGAGGGAGAGACGGGGTGGAGGGGAGAGAGAGAGGGGGGGGGGAGAGAGAGAGAAAGAACCATCAATTTGTTGTTTCAGTTATTTATGCATTCATTGGTTGATTCTCCTTGTGCCCTGACTGGGGATCTTGGCATTTTGGGATGATACTCTAACCAACTGAGCTCTCTGGCCGGACCTTGAATACCAAAATCTTAAATTATCTGCACACAAAAATAATATATACTGATTGGCATTTGAACATATTTGTAAGAACTGGTAAAATCTGGACAAAAACTGGAGGAAGGAGAAAGCAGGAGGAAGAACATTTCATTTATGTAACCATTTATCTCATCTAACCATACATTCTACAAATATTTATTGATAATAGAAATTAGATCATTTGCATGACTTGAGTAGTTTAAATATGTGGCTCATTTATTCATGTGAGGTTAAGAATACAGTGTGGAGTAGAAAAGGGGACATTGTTAAGTGTTTGTAGGCTCTAATCACTTTGCTTAAATTATTAGATAAACAAATAAATTAAAACACCAGTAGATTTCTGGACCATAAATCCCTATTATAGGTCTCAAGGAGCGTTCTGAGGTCTCTAATCATCTGTCTGTGTAATAAGGGTAAGGGGACTAATGACAGTCTCACCAAGTGATCAGAGAATGCTTTCGAACAAAGGACTCTTGTCTCAACCAAGAACAAATCTCAGATTGTTCGGCGAACTGCCGTGCCAGATCAGTCTGCTGCTCTTGATAGAACTTTTCTCTTCTGGTATCTCTTCTAAAATGTCTTATAGCACCAGCCAACATGTGGGGATTTACCTTTCCATTTTTCTCTCTAAATTAGTCCCCTGCCTTCTGTCTATTCAGCACCATCCTCCTTTGAAATGTCTTTGGAAACATAATCTTCCCATTTTCCTTTCCTATTAGGGTTAACCCAAGCCCAAATGATAAAGTATGTAATATTTACTTTCGGTTCTCTCTCCTCCTCTTTTTACTTACCACCTTAGCAAGCTCAAACACACCCTGGCTGTCACTTATCATAATGGGTTCTCTACATTACATATTCATTTAGCAGATATTCATTAAACTTTTATCATGAACAAGTTAGTGTGGGGCTCCAAAATCAAGATAAACACTTACCTAGTAAAATGTTATTATTTAAGCAAAAACACTCAACTCAAAGATTTCTAGTAAAAGAACTACCAATTATTAAGTGTTTTCTAATTGTAAGATTCTATGCTAAACATTTTAATCCTCAACACAACCTTCGAGGTCAGAAGTAGTATTATTCTCATTTTGCAGATGAAGAAACTGAGGCTTAAAGAAGTTAAGCCAGTTTCCTATGGTTACAGAGTTATCAAGTAGCAACACCAACATTCAGATTCAGTCAGGCTGACATCTCACACTTAACACTACAGTATTCTGACAGAGAACTGATTAATGGGAGAAAAGGGAAAGATCATTTTAAAAATTAATGTGACATCAAGAGAGCTCTTTTATTAGGCAACTGCTTCTTAGATATGACAACAAAATCATAAGCAACAAAAAATATATAGATACGTTGGTCTCCTTCAAAATTAAAAACTTTTATGCTTCAAAGAATACCTTACAAAAAGTGAAAAGGCAACCTACAGAATGGGAGAAAATGTTTGTAAATCATATATATTTTATAAGAAACTTGTGTATAGAACATATAAGGAATTCTGACAACTCAATAATAAAAATACAACCTTTTGGTTTATGGGACGACACTCCAACCAAATGAGCCACTGACCAGTGCCATATAATGGAATGTTATTCAGCAACTAAAAAAGTACTGACACATGCTACAACATGGGTGACCCTTGAAAACATTATGCTAAGCATAAGAGATCAGTCACAAAAGACCACATATTGCTTGATTCCATTCATATGAAATGTCTAAAATAGGCAAATTTATAGAGACAGAAAATAGACTAGTGGCTGCCTAGGACTGACTCTCAAGTTAGTTTGGTAGGGAATGGGGAGTGAATACTAATGGGCATAGGGTTTCTTTTTAGGGTGACAAAAATATTCTAAAATTAGATAGTGGTAATGGTTGCATAACTCTATGAATATACTAAAAACTACTAAAATGTATACTCTAAATTTTTTAATTTATTGATTTTAGAAAGGAAGAGAGAGGATTTCTTGTTCCACTTATTTATGCATTCATTGATTGATTCTTGTGATGTGCCATGACTAGGGATCAAACCTGCAACACTGGTGTATGGGGACAACATTCTAACTAACTGAGCTATCTGGCCGGGGCCTTGAAACGCACACTTTAAAAGGATGAATTATATGGTAGGTGAATTATCTCAACAAAGCAATTGCCAAAAAATGAAGTTTGGGACAAAACAGGGAAGTGTCCCAGTGCTGAAATTCATGGTGTAATGATTAATAGATAACATGTTTCTCTCTTTCCTACTGAAGAGAATAATATTTAGATTAAAAAGTGTAAAATAAACATTGCAAAAGGGTACTGAGGAGAAAAATTTTGAGAGAGCACCTGACTACTCTAAATGAATCCACTACTCCTGGCCTGAACAAATTACACTCTTGGACTCTGATAAAACTTTCAGGTTAACCCAATAAACCACTGAATAAAGTCTGAGAGTTCATATAAAAATGGGAAAATTGCTAGAAATTATAGAAAACTGGTGATCACTAATTTTTTATAAGATGGTAGAATCTGCAAACCATAAGTGAAAGATCTTAGCATTAATTCCAGACAAAATTCTAGAATGAACTATTTAAAAGATATGTTTTTAAACAACTAGAAAAATGTAACCATTAAGTCAGTGTGATTTATAAATAATTGTGTCTAATTAAGCACCTTCTCTCTTTGGATACAATTACTAAACATAGTATCTAATGTATTTTGAAGCATTTGGAAGGAATTTCATCATATAAAAATAAACAAATATGTGCCAAGTAAAAGCACAATCAAGGGTATTTCTCAAATAAATAAACATGAGTGCTAATTCATTGATCAGTATCAATTTAGGAATGACTTCTAGAACAATGAATCAGCATTCTGACTTGGCACTATTCTGTAAAACACTTTCATCAATGACTTGAAAGAAAATATAGTAAGCATATTTATCAAATTGTGTGTGTTACTTATCTGCCACTGCAT